AAGGAATGTTGATTTGAAGAGTTTTAATGTGGTCTAGAAACTTCTGATATTCCTCTTCCTGCTTCTCTTTCTTGGCTCGGGATGGGTATGGCATTGGAGGCTGGTATGGCTTCAAGGGAGGCTTTTCATTCGTTTTAGCAGGGGTACTCGCCGAGTCCATCGGCCCTACTCGGCGAGTAGAACTCTCAGATTGTGAATCTTAGTTTTCTACTTGTTCTTCCGTTCCTTCCTTCTGTGAGTCCCTGGTTGCTTCAATTCGAATGGGGGCCAGGGGAGTGATGATCTTCCCACTTCTTGTTGTGACAATGTTTACTTGTGCGCCTCGTGGGTTGTTCTCGGTTTTGCTAGGAAGCTCACCCGGTGACCTTTGGTTTAGTTGTTGAGCAAGTTGCCCAAGCTGCGTTTCTATGTTGTGGATGGATGCTTGCTGGTTCCTGAGCATTGTTCTTGTTTCTTGGATAGCAGCATCATGGTCACTATGTCTTTTCTCGGAAGCGGCCACAAATTTAGTAAGCATATCTTCCAAGCTTGGCTTCCTCTCTTGCATCGGCTCCTCCTTTTGATAAAAGCCTCTCCCTTTTTGTCTATACTTCTCCTCCTTGGCCTTCTTGTACTCTTCGTAAGGCATCCACTCTTTCTTTTGTTTGCGCCAGTCCTCATCATACCGGTCACCGCTCGAATAACATGCTTGTGCCTTTTTGTTGCCATTCTCATCCAAATCGCAGTCTTTAGTGAGGTGAGGTCCATTGCAGTTTTCACAACCCACCCGTATAGCATGGATAGTTTGATCCATTTTGTCCATTCTCCTATCCATGGTTTTTAACATGGCCATGACCGCGGATAAATCTTCAGTAGCAGCGTACGTGGCTCCCCTCGTGACATCATTCCTAGGGTTGTGGTATTCTCTAGAGTGTTTAGAGAATTCTTCAATCAATTCTTTAATCACCGGGGGTGGCTTCTTTGTAAGTGGGCCTTGTGAGTCTAGCAACTACCAGGTTGTAACATTGACTCCATCATAGAAGATGGAAACTTCTTGCTGGCTGTTTAGATCATCGTGTGGGCAGTTTCTAAGCAGACCTTTGTACCTCTCCCATGCTTCATATAAAGACTCTCCAGCTTGTTGTTCAAAGTTTGCAATGGCCTTCTTCAGTTTGGCTATCTTGGATGGTGGGCAAAAGTGATCAATAAATTCTTCCTTCATTCTGGCCCAAGTAGTGACTGATCCGGGGGGAAGTGACTTGAGCCAGTCTTTAGCAGCACCCTTGAAGGTTACCGGAAGCATACGAAGTAGTTGCGTTTCGCGGGTTACATTTGGAATATTGAAGTAATCAGCAACATCATTTACTTCATCCAAATGTTTGTAGGTATCTTCATGATCTTTCCCATAGAAAGGTATTTCCTTGAGTGAAGCTAGGATATGACCTTTTAGCTCGAAGGTAGCAGTCGCGGGAATTGCGGGTTGCACAAGTCCCGGGCCATGGTCGTCGCGTATCCTCTTCTTCCATTCTCCCATGGGGATTTCATCAATGTTAGCCATAGTGAACGCTAACTCTTCCTCCGATTCGGTTTCTTTCTCGTACGTTGCCTCCTCTTCTTCCTCGGTCTCGTATCCAATATCTTCTTGAATTGGCTCCTCAATTATCAAAGAAGCGCTAGAAGCTCCTGATTTACTGCTCTTCTTTTTCCCAAAAACAGTCTTCAAGTTGGACAATGGTGATTTCTTTGGTGTGCTTGAACTCTCCACGTCCTTCCCTTTGTTTCTTTTCAATGCAGATTCGGGGTCTTCAAACGGGTGTACTCGTGGTGTGTTTGCTCCTCTGGTCATGAAAGTCCTGAAATCAATCAAATAAAAAAAACGTAAAAAGAACAAAAAGATTGTAAAAATAAAGAAAATCTACTGCTGACTAAACTGCTACTCGCCGAGTAGGTGCGATTGCACTTGGCGAGTATCAGTGATATTTCAAAAAAAATTTCTAAGTTTTAAACTAACTAAAACAGATACTAAAACCTAATTACTAGTTACTAAATTGCAATAAATGAACTTTATGCAAGTAAACTCACACAAAGGATCGAAAAAATTAGGAATTAGCTTAATTATTTAGAACCGTTCCCCGACAACGGCGCCAAAAACTTAATGTGTGTAAAACGAACTAGTTTTAAATCCTACTAACTTAAACACAAAGACAAACACACGAAAGGCAGTGTACCTATCGATTAGCAGTTTAGTTCAGGTAAGTAGGGTATCGAACACAGGGAACGGTAAACAATTAAAATAGATGCTAATATTATCTAAATAAAACAAGTATTTGAAAGGGGGTTTTCTCTAGTTTTGCAAGACTAGAAACTTAAACAATTAACTAAAACTTAAACTAAGAAACTAAGAGCTAAGAAAATAAAAATCAACTAAATTCAATAATAAAGAGGACTTCTGTTTAGGTTCGACTCGTTTGTTCCCATGGATGATTTCAATGTATCGGATTAATTCTTCATTGGCTACCGACTAAGCAGTGGCCAGTTGTCTAAATTAACGAATTTCCTAGTTTTTTGATTCGGGTTTAGAAAGACTTGTAATTAGCTAATCAAATTGGTTATTCAATTAACCTCTTGTTGATGGTGTATCACACAAGCTCACACATTAACTTACATATCTTCAAGTTAATTCTAGTTTCACATTCGTTATTCCTAGACATACAACTATGTGGTCACGTAAATCATATGAAATTAGCAACTAAGAGATGTTCATACAAATTAATTACTGATTTATTAACAGAAGAATAGTTATTGTTAACACATAAGGTTTTTTAACAAGCTTAATAAAACATAATCACCAATTAAAATTAATCCTAATCAAATAATCAATCCATATTCACAAAATTGTCTACCCTAAACAGAAGTTATGAGTTTTTAGCTCATGATTACAGCAGAAACAAGCACAAAAACGAAATCAATTGATAAAAACATAGTTCAAACAAGAGATTAGGTAAGATTAAACTTGATTTTGACTTGATTCTCCTTAAAATTGAATGTAGGGTTGATTCCCTTGCTTCCCACGCTCCAACAGCACCTTTAGTCGACAATTGGCCTCCAAGGGTTCATCTATATTCTAGGGTATCGATCTGAAAGTCCCTTTATATAGATTTTCACAAAACAGAGGCTACTCGGCGAGTCCAGTGACCTACTCGGCAAGTCAGCGCGTCCAGAATTGCGAAACTTCTGACCCACTCGGAGAGTAATCGACCCTACTCGCCGAGTACGTTTGGAATCAGCATTTTCTCAAAACACGAAAGTCATCCGAAATTGTGTCTACTTTTCAGAACATTTTGAATCTCGTCAATCGGAGTTATGGTTCATGAGATATGGCCAAAACACTGACGAGGGGTCAAGCTGTCCAGCAACATCCTTCTTTCTTCAAAATCCAATATCCAAGCCTCCAATCGCTAGTTCCGCTTCCTTTTCCTTTCGAGCATGTCTTTGTTGCTGAAAATGAAATATTTAATCTAATTAAGCACCTTTTATTCATTAAATGAGACAAAATCAACATAAAGTATTAAGATCATGCATGAATTTTATAACTAAATATGCCCATATCAAAATACCCCGCACTTGACTTTTGCTTGCCCCCAAGAAAAACTGAATTTTAATACATTAAACTTGATGTGTGTAAATTCAACTAGTTTTATCCCTACTTTTTATTAATAATTTGAGCACACAAAGGCAGTGAACCTGTCTTTAAGTGGTATAGATTGATAAGTGAGGTATCGAACTCAGGGAACGGAAAATTAAACTAATAGCTAATTTTAACTAAAACAAATAATAAAAGTAAAGGGTTTTTCTCTAGTTTTGCAAGACTAGAAACTTAGACAAACTAAATTAACTAATTAACTAAAGCAACAACTATTCACCAAATTTGATAAAGATGTTTCTATTTAGGTTCAACCAATTCACTCCTATGGTTATTTAAGTTTAAGGTAGATTAATTGCTATTGGTTACCAATTATAATAGTTAGGTTCATATTCATTACTCCTAACCCTTAGACAATTAACTAATTTAAGTGTTGATCAAGTGTTTAAACTAATTAATTCCCTAGATTAATTATTTGGATTAAATAAGATTTGTAATGGTTAATTAAGTTATTAATTCAATTAACCTTATGTTGATGGTTTCTCAAACAAGCTCACACATTAATCTTCCTATTTTCTTATTAATCTTAGTTTCATAATCATTACTTCTAAGCATATGGTTTAGCATTCACATACACATATGAGGTTAACAATTAAGTGATGTTCATGCAACCTAATTGCCTTCCAATTAACAGAAAATAGTAGTGATTAATACATAAGGTTCTTTAACAAACTTAATTTAATAAATCACCAATAGACAATTAAGCAAAAATCAATAATTAAAACATAGGAGTTCTTTGGTATTCCCCAAACAGAAACAAAAACGAATTTAGCTCATAATTGCAGTAGAAACAAACATAAAAACAAAGTTTACTAAAGCAAACATGTTCAATTCCTAAGTCTAAGTGGTAGAATTAACCTAATTGCTTGAATTCTTCCAACTATTGAAGCCTAGGGTTCCTTAGCGCCTTCTGAATCTCTTAGTCGCAGTTAATCCTTCAAAAATCGCCAGGGGTCCCTTCCCATGAGATAAGGATTCGTCTTTTATAGATATCCCAAAACAGGGTGTACTCGGCGAGTAACAGAATCAACTCGCCGAGTAGATCCATACTTATCCGTCTTGAATCAGCAGTCGTATTTATCTTCTGGAATATCCTCGTGTACTCACCGAGTAGGGTCGATCTACTCGCCGAGTATATCTCCTTCTTTCACTCTTTAATCTTCAATTGCTTTCCTTTTCTCCTTTTTGCTTCCAAGCATATCTTTTGGACTGAAAACACAATTCACAACATTTTAAGTACCTTTTGTCCATATTATTCGCATAATTAATCAAAAATAACTAAGAATATATGCTAAATAACTAACTAATTATGCACATATCAGATGGATACTAGGATTGATACTGGTGGAGGGGAAGGAGGTGGAGAGTGGACGGAAACTTCTGGTGTAGGGGAGTGAGGCGGAGTAGCACCTTGGCCCGAAGCCTCATCATCAGAGCCTTCGCTCTTAGATTCTGAAGGAAGAGCATTCTTATGTTTAAGAGGGACATACTCTGAATCTGAATCACTTGAGGATTGGAGTATAAGTCTCCTAGAAGGCTTCTTCTGCTTCTTTGGTTGAGGCTGTGTTGGAGCAGCCCTGTCAGTCTTTCGTTTCTTAGGGGTTTGCCCCTTTGATGGTTTGGAAACCTGTGCCTCCTTGTGGGTTTCAGTTTTCTTGCCCTTTTTTGCTGGCTTGTCAGCCTCTTCAATGGAGCGAACCATGGTTGGAGTAAGCTCCCTTGGACCTGAAGATGGAGTTTTCCTGTATTGTTTCAAAAGTTTACTCGCTGTTGAGACACGAGCAAGCATCGCTTCAGGAACAGATCCAATAAAGGAGTATTTGGTGGGATATGTGACAATGATTTTGGTTGTGTGAAAAGTAGTGATGGAGCAGAGAAGAGAATCTGCCATGATTGAAACATGTAGTCGATCCATTGCCCAGTTGGTGATGATTGACCAATATCACCCACATGAGATCTAGAGTGCCTGGATGAAGAGACCAAGCTTTGTACTAATTGCTGCCAGATAATTGTTCCATAATCCAAGTCGATCCCATTGTACAACCCATATAGCACAGTCATAAAAAACTTGCTCGCCCCATTTGAGTCGGCGCTGCATTCAGATAGTCCTTTGAACAACAAAGTAAAAAGGTCATTCCATTGAGGAGGAAGGCAGGACTTCTTGAACTTTGTTATAGTGGTGAGGATTTCAGTATACCCCATCTGATAAAACATGGAAAAAAGTTGACCAGTGATGATTGAATCAGGGTTTACCAGAGTTTGTTCTTGAGAGAGACCAATTAGGGCACAGAAGCAGTGCTTGGAGATAGAGGTCTTCTCGTTGTGGATCTCAAAGTGAATCCTCTCATGAATCTTGTCATAGGAAGCAGTGGAGTAGACAAGAGAAAGACAGGACATTGGAACAATCTCGACTTTGGTCAGAGCATCGACCAAAGGAAAGTAGTTAAGACACTCAACTACATACAACATGTAGGGTTCATAGACAAAGGGGGTGAGATCGATGACCAGGTTTTGTTGAGGTTTGATTGTGAGGAGGGTTTGGTGAACAGAGGTGTCATGAACTGAGGAAGAGTCTGCCATTATTAAAGCTTGGAGAAGATGATGAATAGTAAGAGAAATCGCCGTTGTTCTTTGAGAGAGTTTTGGAAGTGATAAAAGGTTAAAGAGGACCGTTCCAATTCCTTTTATACGTACAAGGAGGAGAGAGGAAATCTGGCTGATATCTTAGATTATTTCAAAAATAGCGCCTGACTTGACGGATGAACAGTTGGCATACTGATGATGATGCAGGAAAGAGAAAGGATGTTTGCTTTTTGCACGCCATTCCATAAAATTCACTTTTTCAAATCTCCATACTGATTTGATAACCGCTGATTCAACTTCCACTTTATCCTAATTGTCACTCCAAAATACATTTGAATTGTCGTTGCCTATTATGCTTTATTAAATAGCCTTAAAAGAACCAAAGTGTGGAAAATTAAAAAATTTCGTGCAAAGGGTATAAAAGATAAAGAAATAAAGCAAACGTTTTGGGATAATCTGTGATGCCTTAAATAGACATAAAACAATGGATTCTGGGCATGAATCATTTCCTTCAAAGTCAAGAGAGATATTAAAGTGCTTGCTTGGTTTCCCATTAAATAACGATCAATGACTTGTTGAGAAGTATTGAAAGGCATCTTTTTGAAGGTTATAAAGGGTGGCTTTTCCTTCAATTCATCATTTCGATACTTGACATAAGACCAAAACTGAATGAAGTACTTGTGAGATCGTTGTGATATGTTGAACAAGTATGTAAGATATCTTTTATAGTGACAAAAGAAATTATAGAAATCTCAAAAACAAAAAATAAAGTGGATCTTTAAGGGAAGAAAAGCCTTGGTTTTAGACAAATTCATAAAAGATCACTCAAAAATAAAAAGAGATTTCAGTAGGTAACAAGTAAGATCTTGAATATGATAATTCACTGTTAATTCATTATTGGTGTTGAATTGTGGGTTTCACTTAGTACATAGTGGCATGAGACTAAGATCATTAACACAAATTTTGTATAACCATAAACCTCCGTGGTAAATGCTGAGAGTCTCAGGGATTATATTGGTGAAACGAAGTATAAAGAAAAAGAGTGACCAAGCAGAAAACTCTAAAGTCAATGTGAGTAGAGTAAGGTAGCTCATGATTAGAGTGAATATTACAGCCTGGATTGGGAAAACATGATTTGTATATATCATGTTATTAAGGCTTCACACAAAATCTTTCGAGGCTTTAGTCAACATACAGCAACATGCTTTTAGGGACGACTAACTAATTGGATAAAATAAAAGAAATATACCTGTTGTAGCTCCACCATCGAGAATTACACTTATACAAAGAAAAATATTAGATAAAAAATAAAAATAAATAAATAAAATAAAATAAAAAATATATTTTTGTATTTTCTGAGAGTTGTTTAATTGAACGAAAGAGAAAAATATTTTTGTATTTTATGAATAAAAAGTAGTATTAAAAAGAGTGTACAAACGAATACAACCAAAATGCCTTGGAAGAAAAAAGAAGCTAATGAGTTCAGAAGGACCGAACTCGAAAAAGACCGAGCATTCGGTTCATTTCGGTTGTTGGTCGAGTCGAACCCGAAATAGACCGAACGTTCGGTTCATTTCGGTTCGCTTTATTTTGCTTCTAACCTTTATTGAAGCGAAGGCGATTTGGGCACTGATTCTGCTTCCATCATTCCTAGGCCTTGTAGGATCTTGTTGAAGCTTGCTTCAAGTAAAGCCTTAGTGAATATATCAGCCAGTTGATCAGTTGTTCTGACGAAATGGATTTCTACATTGCCATCTTCAACGTGATCTTTGATAAAGTGATACCTCAGTGCTATATGCTTGGTCTTCGAGTGTTGCACTGGTTGTGACTGTAAAGTCCAAATAAAGGATCTTACCAGAGATCAGTAGCAAACACAATCACACAAAGAAATAATATAAACGAAAAGAATATAAACCAAGCTTTCACACGTTTTATATCAATAAACGTCTGGTACAACTTGATGAAAAGTCGTGAACACAAAGGCATCAATAACTACAAACGTCTGACTAACCCTCTATTTATAGGGACTACGACCGAGAAGAGTTTACAGCCGTAAACTAACCACAAAACACACTACTAACATACTCCCTACTATTACATTGTAAAGCCTAGACCAAACCACTAATTTGGGCCCTTCAATCTCCCCCTTGGTTTGGACTAGCTCGAAGTTAACCTTTAGTAACTACCATGACGTCCGCTTGCCCCATTGCCCCATTCCACATCCGTTTGTTAAGAATCTCAGCAACCATAGTTGTATACACCTTCGCATCATCTTCAAAAGAATCTTCTGCAACCAAAATCTGAAAGTTGCTTAGGTGATGAATATCCCATTTTCGAAATTGTAACAAATCTCTTCGATCGTAGAGTCGAATGCACCCATTCTTGAGCTTGATGACCGCAACAGAAGTAACTTCATCAAATACCCAACACTCCATAGAACTTAGAGATCCATCTTGATAATGTTGAAGAATAGGGAACTATTTGACCTGCTTGGTTGCAGGCCACATCACGACTTGCAAAGGCTTATCAGTCTTAGGATCAAGGATATCAGAATGCTCTTTTATGACAGACTCAACAATATTCATGGATGGAAACCCTTTCTTGACTTGATCTTCAAGGAAGTGCTTAAACTGAGTATCCTGAGGATTGTTTGATAAATTGGAGAAAGGAGCTCGAGACAATTCAGTCAGATCGACTCTAGTCCATGACTAAAGTCATGACTATCTCTCTAAAGTTCAGAATTGCCACTTTTCCTTAACACTATCCACATCTTGAGAGGATCATGAAATCCTCACAAAGAAATTCATGGCCTATCACCGAAAGTATCTCTGAATCGAACGACTTCAATATCAGTCATTGTAATCGCAGGTTCATCCCAAGAAGCATTCTGATTGGAGTTTCTTTTGAAAAGTAGTTGCCCTTTCTTAGTTGCTTCCTATTGAGCATCGCAAATGGTTGTTGAAACATGTGGAGCTTGAGGAGGCTCATCTTCAGCACGATTAACAGCTCCTAAAGTTTGACCGGTTGGCAGAGAGACTGGGAAAGCTTGAACATGTAGATTAATCTTATATTCATCAGCTGACGTCTGGTATTTATCACCAAAATCTTCTTCAAGTTTCCTTTTCAGCTCAAATTAGCTTGAAATCAATAAATTGAAGTGATCTTGGAGATCGGAAATCTGTTTTGACTTTAGCTCTTTATCCTTAGTAAGATAAGCTACTTGCACACCAAGGTTTGAATTATCAGACTGAAGCTCAGACACTTGAACAGTAAGCTTTGAATTTTCAGCTCAAAGTTTTGACACTTGAATGCCAAGCTCAATGTTTTTCTAACTCAGCACTGATATCTCCTTCTGTAGCCCTGAGATAGTTAGGTTGTCTCCTCCAGAACCACCATCTCCTATAGAAACACCCTTACCATGAGGAGAAGGCATTAAAAATTGCTCCTCAGCCAAATGCATGGCCAATCTCACAGAAGCTTCATCATGATCAGAACGATGAGGAGTAAACCCTGGTGGAATAGAGGAACCACCAACCTCAAAAGTAGAGTTTGGACCCATAGAAAACAGTTTGGCTATGGTGAGACTGGTAGTAGTAGTAGTAGTAGTAGCAGGTGGTACTGGGAGGCTGCTAACGAGTCTTGCAATTACTTTACCCTGCCTCGGATCCCTTCTTTGTCTTTTCAATGGGGGTTGATCAGATTGTGTCGTTGCAAAATCACTCACAAATGGCTCCGAGGTAGGAGGAATAGAAATAGGAGGGGAACATCCCATAACCGTCTCCATTGGAATGGAAACACTTGCCATTTGATCTGAAGTAGGGGTTGCATTATCAAAAACTTCATTTGACTCCCTTGTCTTAGTTGTTGGAAGGACAACATCATCAACATTGTTGACATTAGTGTCAAGATTCTCATTTGACACCAAGTTAGCAGTGCTAGGTAGAGAAGTTGTAATATCATCATGATCAAAACCAGTGAGATCAAGATCATCAAATGAATCATTGTTATCACCTTCAAGATTCGCTTCAAACTCTACATTCATTCCTGAATCATCGCCTTGAGCAAAATTAGACATCTCGCCATGTTCCTCTGCCACATGAGCATCAGGAGTAGGAGTATCTAATTTCTCAGTACTTTCATCCTCAGATACATCAATAAAAATGTTGTTTGGAGATGACTTCTCAGAAGATGCAGGCTCAGAAGATG